AACGATAATTGTTTAAATGTTGGTTGATTGAATATTACCCACTTGGGTTGTTTAAATGTAATTTTGCTTGCTAGAGGTTTTTGTTTTCAATAAAATTTGTAGATTTTGTAATTTTGTTGTACTTTCTGGTTGATTTCTTGATTTCGGTAATGGTGGAAAATGTGGGTTGTTTATATGACTTGCTTATTTCTTTTCTTTTTTAAGTCAGTTTTGTTTCATTATAAAGTGGGTATCTGAAAGTCATTGATGATGACTGTTTGCTGTTCATGTTTGTGAGGATGACAAAAATAAAAAATTCTATGGACTTTGTTTCATTATTTGTAGTTGAAATGAGTTTTGTATCAAAGTTGTTGACCAGGTGTTAAAAATGATATATCTTTCAAGAAAATAGATGATGGGTATTAAAGGGATTTTATTCAAGAAAATAAATGATGGATACATCAATCTTAAGGATAGGGGTGCTCATGGGTTGGGTTGAACGGGTTGAGGACATTTGAACAACTCAATCCAATGGTTGCGGTTTTGAAAAATCTTAGCCCAACCCAAACCAAAGTGCAACTCTACCCAACCCAACCCGTATGGGTTGGTAGGGTTGGTTGGGTTGATATTTTGGTATATTAAAATATTCTTCTAACCTTGAATATGTTATTTTTCTACTCATAATTTCTTTTTCATCACCAACCATTTGATACAACTTATTCATATTTCTTACGTATATCACATTCAGTTAATTTTCTCAATTAACATATGTATGTTCACAGTTACTGAATGAGTTATATAGTGATATGAATGGATTGAAATGTGTATATGAAAAGCATACATGATAGTGTAATTGTCTAATGTATATATTAATAGAAATTCAGCAATCATATTAAATCCAAGAAATAAAAGGATATCGGGTTCATCGGGTCGGGTCGGGTTGGGTTCAAATAATAGTAACCCAATATCAACCCAATACCTACGGTTTGACAATTTTACAACTCGATTAGACATCGGGTTGCTTCGGGTTGAGTTATTTCGCGTTGGGTTGGGTTGGTCGGGTTGGTCGGGTTTTTGAGCACCTCTACTTAAGGCCATTTTGGTTTGACGGAATATTTTTCAGGGGATTTCGTGGAAGGATTTGAAATCTTCCGTTGTTGAAGTTTTGGTTTTGCTCACAACCCATTAATTTTAAGAGTTTGATGTCATAATGTTATTTATACTTGCTTTATGCATATAATATATTTCTAATAAGGAAATTCCCTATTAATGTTGATAAAAAATCATGAGATGAATCTAACAGTGAAGTCCAAATTAAACCTAAAATGTAAAATCCAAAGTCTCGTACACATGAATAGTAGTTCAATAAAATTAGTATTTGAATTTGAAATTATACTAAAACAACCATTTGGATTCGATGACTTTAATTTTGATTGAAAGGTTGTAGATTTAAAATGTATAAAGTAGAATCCAAAACTGAAGCCCAAACTATTGAGACCATTGACTACTGTAATAGTCAAACTGAAAGATTTTGGTGGGTTTGTGGTTCACCATTCTCACAAAACCAAAGTGGTTCAGTTCTTTAGACTGACGAGAACGTACCAAACTATGTTCACCTATAGCTGTAACAAAATTATTGGCAACTGGTTGGAACAAATGTGGACGATGATTTGGTGGACAATAATGAAGATGTTTAAAAATTGATCTACTGTTATTACCCACCCTACTTTGAATTAAATATATGTTGGTGCAACAGTGGTTTCGAATGACATATTGGCTTGAGATGTGGATGTTATTCAATAAGCTGAATCTGTTTTTTACTGTTGTTTTCAATCTGCATTTTCACGGATTACAACACCAAGTTTATTATGTTGCTTCCAACTTTATGTTGCATCTAAAAATTGAATTTATCTTTGATAGAACTTTTGCATCCCGCCGCATTGCGCGGGTACTCAACTAATATATATATATATATATATAT